GCTTCTATTTGTGTTCCCTACAATCCTTCAGTGGTTCTCCTACTGCTCTTAGAAAAGCCCCTGACTTCTTCCCACATCCGATAAGGTCCTCCATGATCTAGTCCCGCAGTTCTTACAGTGGTTCTACGGGGTCCCTGAGGTCACACTACTTTCATAATAACGCTCAATGTTTCTTGCCTTTTTCACTTACATTCTCTCAAAAGCATACTGTTTTTCAGAGCCTATGTAACATGGAATAATGTCATCACTCTGATGGCTAATGAAATGAATGCTTGCACATTCTTGTATTTTTAAATTTCCTGAGTTCCAATTTCTAATATGATAAATATTAACAAATGTAAGTTCCATAAATAAAAGCCCTTTGGATTCCTCAATAATATTTAGGAGTTGTTACAGGGGGTCCTGAGATTTTTTTTTAACTGAGAATCTCTGATTTAGCCCCTGCCTCCCTTTCCAACCTCATCTCCACACACTTCCTCCCTCAACCTCTAGGCTCGAGCTGCCCTGGCTGCTTTCCACTGTCTTGAACTTGTACATGTTCTTCCTCCTCTGCACATGCTGTTTCCTCAAAGAGGCTTATCAAAGCTTCCCTTCCCTATTTTCGATCACCCACCATTTTCATTTCCTCTATAAAACTCATTATAATCTATAATTTTTTGTTTACTTGTTAATTTTCTGCCTCCCCCACTGGACTGTCTGCTCGGGGACTTCCCTGTGTTATTTATTTACCACTGTGCCCAACACAGTGCCTGACATGCCACAGGCACTGGATAGATATGTGTTGAATGAATAAATAATAGAAGAGGGTAAGACGGCGTCAATGAGTAGATGAAGGAGGGGTTGTGTGAGGGAAGCTGGTACTTGTCACTGGAGTCTTAGGTGGAGGGCAGGTGTATCGCTGCNTCCTCCTCTCCCGAGAAGGAAAGGCTTTTGGAGCTACCATTTATTTTCTCTCAGTATTTTCCTATCCCTAAGAACTCAAAACACGGAGTTTTCTAAAATACTGTTTGGATACTCTATTCTGGGAAGAGATCAGTGCTGAGAGGGGACAGTGCAACTTCACAACTAAAAGAGTATTTCAGGGATAGAAAATACCACAGAATCAGATTCTGGGTGCCACACCTATTAACTGAGTTATGTTCACAGCTTCTGAGTAGAGCCCATTCTCTCAAGTCCTAGAAGGACACACCCCACCCTGAGGTAGTGTCCAGTTCCTACAACAAAGGGAGATAACTTGGTGTTATGAAGCCTCAGCCTTGGACTCTTCTGTCTGGGTTCTCCACACCCTTTCCCTAGATGACCTCGTTCAGACCCATGACCTTCGAAATCTGCTGATGGCTCCAATTGCATAGCTTCAGGCCAGACTTCCTTCAGCTCCACTAGTATATCCAGCTGCCTACTGGACGTCTCCACTTGGAGACCTCACAGGCAACTTGAACTTAACACATCCAAATGGGAGCTCTTGACATATCCCCCAAACTTGCCCTTCCTCTCTTTCCTCTACTCAGAAAATGCTTCCAGTACTCAAGTACTGGGAGTCACCTGTGACTCCACCTTCCCTCATTCCCCACTTCCGATTTGCCAATAAGTCCTGTTCATCCTTCCTCCCAAAGCCTCTCCGAGCTCTCATCTCCACTGCTACCAGCCTGCTATCATCTCTAAGCCATAACAGCCCCCAGATGGGTTTCTCTGCTTCTATTTGTGTTCCCTACAATCCTTCAGTGGTTCTCCTACTGCTCTTAGAAAAGCCCC